TCAGTAAGAGTTTGCATGCAAAACTATGTGCTTTCTGGAACACTAGTTTGCTGGAAATGAAGAGAGGGAACTTGTTTTCAGTCAGAGAATGTCACTGTCAATTTATTAACCTTCTGCTTTTACTGAATTAAAACAAACAAAAATGTCTTTGGTTACAAAAGAAGAATATAAGGAAGTTCATAATATTCATATATAAATTCAAAGCCATTAGAATCATGGGATCACCAAGGTTGAAAAAGACTTACAAAAACAGCCAGTCCTACTGTCCACCTATCACCAACAGTTCTTAGTAAACCGTGTCCCTCAACACAATGTCTGAATGTTCCTTGAACACCTCCAAGGTTGGTGACTCCACCACCTCCAAGAGCAGACCTCATCAGCAGCGCCTGACCACTCTTTCAGAAAAGTAGTACTTCCTAACATCCAACCTGAATCTCCCCTGGCACAACTTGAGGCTATTCCCTCTAGACCTATCACTAGTTTCACGAGAGAAGAGGCCGATCCCCAGCTCACTACAACCTCCCTTCAGGTAACTGTACAGAGTGATACCTCCTGAACCTCCTCTTCTCCAGACTAAACAATCCCAGCATATCTGCCAGAGGTCTGCAGAGAATCATGGGTTATATGCCAGTTATACATGTTTTAGTAGAAATTAGGTATCTGTGCACTTAGCTTGATTAACCAGTCTGCATGTCTGCCCACACCTTCAATAGCGTGCTTTTTACCACCAGAAATCCAGGTAGTAATAAATAGACTGTTTCTTTCTTAAGTACTTGTTCTTTAAGAGGCATGTGACTGCATACAAAATGCAATAAACCAAACTGGAAAATATTTAGCATCAAGAAACTACTTCAAATCTGTTACCAATAAATGATATAAAAATGATATTTAAACAAAACTTTAATAGTTGAAAATATATTTAAAAAGATTGGCTAAATTTGTGTTAATTCTACAGAGAGGGAAGATCACCACAATACACTATTAACTCTTCAGGCTATCTCCCAGCTTCTCAAGTGGACTAGAGTAGGAACATATTTTCTGCCACGCATATTCTTGAAGCAATTAGCTTCAGTATATCAGAACTGTGCAAATTCTGTTTTAGAGGTTCCATTGCTTTTGACTTTGTCTGTGACTATGCCTTTTCTCTAGCACTTCAAAACTTGATGTAGATAACAACATCTGATGGATCATCTTTCTTTAGTAACAAAAATCTGCTGCTATTTGTGTTTTATGAATTCTTTTATTTTATGAATTTTATGAATTATACATTCCAGATTTACTGAGTGGCCTCGTGCATGCTGCTCACCAGAGTTTGTGTCTCCTTTATGTTCTGCTTCCAGTTCTGTCCCATGCCTTTTCTTCTTTAGGTTCTATTTCTTGTGCCAGGCACAAGTAGATGTTTCATGTAGCTTGGGGCATCTAAGAATGGTGTTTTGGAGATAATACTGAGCTAAATCTCACCCATGTCACTCCTTACCAGCAGCTGGCACCAATCACAGGGACCATGACCCATGGAGCTCTGCAGTTGCCTCATTCACACTAATCCCTGTTAGCTTGTTTGTGAACATGCACTGCTCCTGCCACGGTGTCTGGAATTAGAAGGCTCTGACTTACTCCAGTAGCTGATGTTAGGTTCTTACATGCTCTGGTAGCTGGACTGGAGGTTCTTATACCTCTGATATGAATTCACTAGTTGGCACCACTCATGTCAGTTTTCCCAGTAGCTGTCCTTATGAGTTCGAAGTCTATAGGGACCTTCCTAGATCCAGAGAGCTATAGACCCTCCAACTACAGATGCTAGGACCCCTTCTCACTCCAGTAACTGTCATCACAATCTTCTTACTTCTCTAGCCAGACTTCAGCAGCTGGCATCAGTTCCACTCACACATACAGGTCCCACCAGTAACTAGTGCTGAGACCTCATTCTCACTCCAGTAGCTGACACTCCAGGCTGTGGTGATCACACTTCCAGCCTGACTCCTGTTGCTGACACCGGCCTTTACTCACACATACTCAGATCTCTCCAGTAGCAAGCACATTGTCCTTGCAGTGTATATACATAAAGGACAGAGAGTATGAATATGCAGGGAGAGAGTTAAGAAGGAAAATAATGAGAAAATCTGTAAGAAGATAGGACAGACAGCAGTTATCAAGCATGGGGCTCAGCCAGACCAATGTACTGACTGATCCCCATTTTACATATTTTTACCTATTTTCTTTGTTCTTTCTGCTCTCCCTGGCATCTGCACATCTGTCCTGTGGGTTTGCAGAACTATTCAGCTTTCAGCATCCCTCCCCGTCTACCGCACCCCAACAAAACGCAAACAGAACAATGCAAGAGCATAGGAACTATATGTATAAAGAGTATAGACTCAAGATAGAATTACAAAATAACCAGATAATAAGGTTTTCAATTAAAAAAAGAGATGAGGAGAAAATTGGTTTCCCTTGTTATCAACTCCTAAATAAAAGTTAAGAGAGATTCATTTATTATTCTTCAACTAAAACATGTGACTTGTATTTAAAAACAGCTCTCCCTGTGATAAGAATAATTTCGATCTCTGCTAAAGTAAAGCTATGGTCAATGAATGTTTTGAATTACTGTGGCATGCTGACCTTTCCCAGCTGTCAGACCCTCACCCATCCACTCTCTCACTTCACTTTCCCAATAGAATGGGAAAGAAAGTGAAATGGAAAAGCCTAAGATTTCAAATAAAGACAGGGAGATAACATGGATTACTTCCGCAGGCAAAAAGTAGAATAAACTGAACTAAAATAAAATTGCCTTATGGCGAAATAAAACAGATTTGAGTAGTGAAAAACACATTAAAATTCTAACTTCCCCCACCTCACCCCTATTTTCCCAGGTTCAACTTCATCAACTTAATTCCTTCTCTCTCAGCTCTTCCACCACCTCCCCAAACTGAGCTGCTCAGGGATAATGGGGCCTTCCAGTCAATTCATGACCCTTAGGTTACGCTGCTGCTTTCTCCAGGCTTGGGTTCATTGCAGTGCCAGCAGGAACTGTCTGTGTCTGATACAAAGTCCTCTTGACTCTTCCCATGTAAGATACCTTTGCAGCCCCCACTACTAGCAAAAGCTTTCCATGTAAAACTAATACAACAATATTCTCTATAGTTTCACACTTTCCTTCTTTTTGTTGCATCTTTAATATATGAATTAAGTTGCTAAATCTGTGTACAGTTTCTGATGATAAATATTTTAAGTGGTACAAATTTTCAAATCAACAAAATAAAATATTGCATAGAATGTATACAATGTGTATTATGCAGGTCCCTCTGAAAGTAATGCTTCCAATTCGTTACCGTGGAAATTACAACAGATACAAAGAACACAATAACACTATTCAATAGAGAAAATTCTCAGCTATGAAACACTGGTTTTCAATAGTCACCACCATTAGCTATGTTTTTGCGCTAGCAATGAACAAGCGTCTGCATTCTACAGCTGTAAAATCTTCACCTGCAGAGGTGACCCACTGTCGATGTTGCCACTGCTGAAATGCACTGCCCACTACCCCAAGCACATATCCACTCGTTGATCTCCATAAACATTCTTCAAGTGCTGGTGAATGTCAATGGGAGCAATTGTTTCCATATGGAGGAATTAAATGACACACCTTTGTTTCATACATACTTTCAAGTCAGACATCATCTTGTCTTGACTGCCCTTTTGCTTCCATCTGTCACAACAACAAAATGTAATAGAATATTAGCAGGGAAGTCCAACCTCTACTGCCATATCACCAACATCTGCCTTCAGTGCTGTGGGACAACATAATAAAATTGGAGGCATTATATTCAGAGCAGCTGTGGTACAGTGATTGTGACACTAATACTATAATTTACTTTTATTCTTTTTCTTACCTTTGTTGCATGTGTTCTGTCTAGAATATAAATGGTATACCAAACTATATTTGTGTTTGCACACTGCTTGTGGCACTGGCAAACTATGTAATGAACTGTTTTTTCCTGCCATACACATTTTTTTTAAGAACACTGATAGCTTTTTCTTTCCTAATAAAAAGGTACTGAAAACTTAGAAGAGTCTTCAACTGAGGTTTAGTGTCAGTGAAACTTTCAGGGAAGGTATAAAAATTCTTCCCCTAGATTTTTCTTTTCTTGCTGATATATTTAGTATAATCTCCATCATTCATAGAATCATAGAATGGCTTGGATTGAAAGCAACCTTTAGGAGCATCTTGTTCCAATTCCCCTGCCACTGGCAAGGTTGTCAACAACAAGATCAAGAACTAGATCAGGTTACCCAGAGTTGCATTTAGCCTGGCCTTGAAAACCTCCAGGGACAGGATGTCCACAACCTCTCAGGACAGCATGTTCCAGGACTTCACCATCCTGTAGTTAACAAAATACGTAAGTTAGAGATGTAGTCAACGAAATACGTAAAGCGGGGGCTGTCAAGGTCACCAGGCGTAACCAGGCGTAATCTGTGTGGGCCCCTTGCGTGGTTAGTTAATACGTGAAAGGGGGGCTGTAACAGTCATCAGCCTCTGCGGGGGGCTCCTTGACTCATAAGAAAACCATGATGAGACATGGCAAGACAAGACATGCCACACATCTATTGGACACAGATAACCGTAGCAAGGATGATTGGTAGCACTGTGATATAAGGGACAACTATAAGAAGAGTGTGTTGCTTGCAATAAGTGCCATTTGCCGCTCACCACATTGGTGTCATAAAAGCGTGTGATTTGGCCGGGGCTGTCTGAGCACTTCACGACGGGACATTAATCAGAGGTTGCCGAAGCAAAGGCAACAAGTGGTGACCCCGACGTGATAATGCCATGTCCCAGTCGTGAATGTGTGACAGCTGGTTGCGCGACGGACGCAGGAGCCCGAGGCGGTAAGGCGGCGGAAGAGCCGGAGGGACTGATCCCCCTGGGGCTGTGAGCGCAGCTGCGAAGTTATCCCACAGCGGTAGACTTGTGGAAGGTGGAGGGCTGATCACCCTGGACAACCATGGAATCCGTCATTAAGTTATTGCATCAAGCTTGTAAGGACTATTTCAGTGAGGATGCTCCTTCTGAGAAGGACATTGCCGCTGTACTTACTCGCCTGGAAGAGGAGTGGAATCTTCCCTCCCCTCAGGGCATTTTAGACCCCACTAGATGGGATGCATTTACATCCGCGCTTGCGCAGCGTGCGATAGAGGAGCAGAAAGTTGCGGAGCTTAAAATTTGGGGGTTGGTCCTCGGCGCTCTCCGAGCCGCGAGAGAAGAAGATAGAATTCCTGAAGCTGCGCGCGTTATGATGGGTTTGGAATTTAATAACACCGTGAGAAACGGCGCGGGAAGTGTACTTTCCTGCAGGTCCCCCGAGGAAGAGAACACCGCAAATATGCCCTCAGCTATGGCGACTAACATCTCGTTCGCACCTTCAGCACCCCCTTCTGCTCCCCTCTCGGCTCCAGCTTCGCATAAACAAATAGAAGAAGACTGCGCTGAACTGTCTGCACTTTTATCTTGCAAAACGGCTCAAGTGCAGGAATCCAAGGTCGCTGAAACTCCCCAGCCGTATCCAGGACAACCGCTGTATCCTTCTCTGTGTAACCTAACACCACCTGTGGGGGCAGGGAAAAAAGTGAGCTGGGATGGGACACTTGCTGTCTCCTCTCAGGAGGTGGAATGCAGTAACACCCAGGGGGGTGGGGACTGCGGGAAAGGCCTGGGTACGGATTGGTCAAAAGTTAGGGAGGTAGTAGAAGAAAAAACAGCAGAGAGAAAGGGAAGCGATGTAAGTTACAGGCGCTGGGATGATAGTGTCCGGCCAGCACTGTCCACCCTGACTGCGCCTGAAGGTGTAGGTGGCGTCCGGCTGGTGCCCTCTGCTCAGGTTGCACCCGATGGAGAAAGAAATAACGATAGTCTCCGGACCCACTCTCTGCCACAGTGTTCAGGCCCATTGACTCGACCCACACATCCTTCTACAAGATTGAGTGCGTATGCAACCAATCAGAAGCCTCTACAACAGTCAGTGCTTGATCAAAGGGAGATGGGCACAGTGGGAGCGGTGCGGAGCCCGCAGCTTCCAGCTGTGACTGAAAAGGATACCGAAAGGAGAGAGGTGAATTTGCATTTAGGAGTTAAGAGAGATGCACTAACAGATGGTGAGAAGTTTAGATCTAGCCTGATAGAGGAAGGAAGAGTTCTGGAGATCTTCCTGATAGTAGGGAATGATAACAGAGGTCCGGGAGGGGTATCCCTCGATCTGAAAGGCATCACATGCCTGATAGATTGTGCAGAGAAATCGGGATTGAAATCACTCCTCACTTTAAATGCATTAGAAGTCCTGACAGCATCAGGCCTTCTCTTTCCTCATGTAACAAATCTTATGTGCATGGTGCTTAAGCCAGTGCAGTATACACTGTGGGCATCATAATGGTTTCCCTTCATGGACAGGTGGCCAGACTGAGGCCTGGAGAACAAGCAATTCCATACAGCTGGTTTGTGAGAGCAATGCTCTCAAAGCCTGAGACATCTGCCTTGATATTGAACAAATGTTTATCATTTTTGAGGTACACTCCAACAGGTACCTGAGACAATGTTGGTATATATTGAGCATAGATAGTGCCACTAGAGCTTTCAGCAATCGCTCTAATCTCTAACCTCTCTGTCTATAACTTTACTAGTATTGTAGGATGTGGCTTTAATTAGTGTCGGTGACATCACATCAGTTCTTGCAGGATAATTATACGGTGATTAAAGACCTATCACCTACTCCAAGTGGGATGAATCTCGTTTTGGCTTACCAAGGAAGGACATTGGTAAGGAACATTTTGCAACATGATGACCTGCACCAGTTGCTGAAACGTGTCAGAGACAATGGACAGAAAACCTTGATCACCGTTCACCATGACACAGAAGAGATACATCGTGTCCTAGAGAGAGTAAAGAAGGACAGAGAACACCACTGATGGGAAGTGCTTCTGGGATGGTCCACCAAAGCGACGAGAATGTTTAAATCTGTTTAACTCTATTCGTTATTCAGTTATAGTTGTATTAGGTCTAATATTAATAGGCTTTACACTTATAGTCATATTATATATAGGCATATAGGTATATTACATTTATAAGCATAGTTTAAGACATTAGAGTAGGATTATTTGGCGAATCGCGATGTAACGGGGCAAAAGGCTTAACCGAGAGGACAATGGCATGTATAGGCGCAATGCGGGGATTTCGGGGTGTACGCGGTTAGGGTCCTCTCGAGTTGTAGTAGATTTGCTTGAGCTTAGGGAGGGGGAGATGTAGTTAACAAAATACGTAAGTTAGAGATGTAGTCAACGAAATACGTAAAGCGGGGGCTGTCAAGGTCACCAGGCGTAACCAGGCGTAATCTGTGTGGGCCCCTTGCGTGGTTAGTTAATACGTGAAAGGGGGGCTGTAACAGTCATCAGCCTCTGCGGGGGGCTCCTTGACTCATAAGAAAACCATGATGAGACATGGCAAGACAAGACATACCACATGTCTATTGGGCACAGATAACTGTAGCAAGGATGATTGGTAGCACTGTGATATAAGGGTCAACTATAAGAAGAGTGTGTTGCTTGCAATAAGTGCCATTTGCCGCTCACCACATTGGTGTCATAAAAGCGTGTGATTTGGCCGGGGCTGTCTGAGCACTTCACGACGGGACATTAATCAGAGGTTGCCGAAGCAAAGGCAACACCATCCCTCTGTGAAGTATTTCCCCCTGACATTTAATCTAACTCTCCTCTCCTTTAGTTTAAATCCATTCATCCTTGTCCTATCACTACCTGTTTAAAAGGTTGATTTTCCTCCGTTTATAATCTCCCTTTAAGTTCTGAAAGACTATAATTAAGTCTCTCCAGAGCAGACTCTTCTGACTGAACAAGCCCAACTCCCTTAGCTTGTAATTCATAGAATTAGAGAATGGCTTAGTTTAGAAAAGACTTCTGCAGGTCATCTGGACCAACCCTCTACTTAAACAAGGGCCCCTCAGAACATGTTACTCAGGACCATGTCCAGATGACTCCAAAAGAGGGAGATTCCTCAACCAGGCTGGCAGTACTCAGTCCATCACACAATAATGAGGCCCTTCTTGATGTACAGATGAAGCTTTCTCTGTTCTGATTTGTGACCATTGCCTCTTCAGGCACCAGGTACTGCTGAAAAGAGTGCCACTCTATCTTCTTCACACCTTCCTGTCAGATATTTATAGACATTGAGTCCACATTATTAAAAGCTTTCTGTTTTCTGGGGTAAATAGTACCAGCTATCTCAGCTTCTCCTCATAGAAATACTCCAGATCTTTAACCATCCCTGTGGCCCTTTGTTTGGTCTCTCTCCAATAGTTCCATGTATCTCTTGTTCCTGGGGATCCATAACTAGACATGGTACTCAGAGGTGTGTCCTCACCAGTGCAGAATAGAGGGAAAGGATCACTTCACAATCAAGGACAGTGCTAAATAATAAAATCAATGTAAGTAAATAAAGAAAGAAAAAAAAAAATCACTCAAACCTTCAAAGAATATTAATCAGCAGTGAGCAATTACTGGCCATTTTCTAAAAGCTGGTTCTATTATTAGGATGCAAATAACGGGTAGGAGATGTTCAAATTCCCTAATGTTTTATTTCTTACTCTTTTGGGAGTAGGATTGCATATGGTTCTGCTAAAGGATTAGAAACCTATAATTACATTTTTTCCTTAGTGCATTCTATCACACAATTTTCTGTCTTCCACAGAAACTCATTCTCTTTCAAAGACAGAAAATGATCATTAATTTCAATAACAGCCTCGTTTTCAAGTGAGTCTGAAATTAAGAAGAAAAGTTTCAGTTTAACCAGTGGGAAACAAAGGTGATTTTTGTTTGTTTGCTTTTTTTTTTTTTTTAATGTATTTTGTTTTTATGTGAACTAAAGGGTCAGTATAGCCATAGAGTCAGGAAATTGTATGAGTTAGTGTAAGCTAATGGAAGTGTGGAAAACAACGCTTGTTTTCTTTTTCTGTGAAGTGCTTTGAATGAAATTCTTCACATTTGTGAGCAGCAATGTAGTGAGTGAATTACTGGTATAACAAGTGCAGTATAGTTCTGTCACCTGTCTTCAAGTGGCAGTTGCAGGAGACAGAAAGATAAAGTGTAAGTAGACAGTTAGGTCTGGATATATTTTACATTGATCAAGAACAAACCTAACTTTCCTATAAATCTAATTCTGCTATATTTATTCTGGGAGTTCTGATTCCAAGTCTAGTGATCTACAGGTCAAAATTTTCGTTACACACATAGTACTTCAACAATACTGAAAACTACTTAGCATATCCACATACAAAACTTCAATGGAGAATTTTATAGAGTTTCATAATAGCCAAAATAATTTTCTGAAGTTTGTTACTATTCTGAACATATTGCTCTAGAAAAACTGTGAAATTTATCAGGGCACTGTTGGATTTGTATAGGGTTCATAAATCATGCTAACAAAGAACTACTACAACAGCAATATAAAAATGTACCTGGAAATATAATTTAAATAAAATTCTCTTTTATATTTGTTAGATGATGAAATATTTCTAAAAATATTTTATGTTTGGTAGTTTAACCTCAATTTTTTATGTTAATAGAAACCTCATTTCATGCTAATTCTTTTTCAGTTTTCTGTTCTTGGTGTTGTTCTTTGTCTCACTGCTTTTTTTAATGTTTTGTCTCTCAGTATTTGTATACTATCTTTTCAGCGCGATTTTCTCAGAATATGTATTTTTGATTCATACAAGTGTCACGGAGTTGATCAGATCAATCTATGTCCGTGACAGGGGCGACAGGCCTC